GTAAGGGTGGTAACGACACAGAGGACGAGGTAGCCTAAATAAAGAGGACAAGGAAACCACATGGCCAGAAAAGCCCTCGCCTCAGCTATCAGCGGCAGCGACTTGGGACTCAACCACAAAACCCAGCAGCCGACCAAACGTCCCGCTTCATCACAGCTCCTGTATCATGACACCGATATAGGTCAGCAGTGCTAAAGCATCTGCAAATCTGCAGATTATCTCTGCCAGGTTTTTTTATGCTCTAATCAGACCAAATCCTCTTGAGTGGCGTTCACTCTTAAGTGGAATTCCACAGTTTGAACCACTGGTCCGCACCAACTATAAATGGGAGGCGGTATTAAGGTATCAGGATGCACATTACAGGGTTAGTGCTTCTCACCGGTTAGTGGAGTGGAACGAGTCTCAGGCAGAAAAAAACTGAGAGAGTGCACAAACAACCAAAAATATAAAAAAAACAATTTTAATTTGAGTTTCGATGCGTTTTTTTTTTTTATTGTATGTGTGTGTGCATGAAGAAATAAGTGAAGACAGTCGTTCAGTAAGGCAAGGAGAGGGAGGAAAGCGGTATAAAAAAACGTCCAAGCAAGCATTTCCCACAGTTGGAAGTGATTATTAAAACTGCAGGGGCTGTCTTTACTGCTCTACTACTTGGCCTCCACTTTGTTTACTAAGGTACAGTTGAGAGCCGGCCACGCCTGCACTAACTATGGTGTGTGTGTGTGTGTCCAACTTCCCTCTTGAATCTAGATGATTTATCACATATGCAGGTATTCATAATTGATGGTCCCCTGTGTGCTTAGTGTGACACCAAGTTACAGAGGAGAAAGAGGGCAAGTTTAAAAATAGGAAGGACACCTACCATCATCTCATCCATTATTAAACACAGCCCGGAGATCTGATCTGACATCCATTATCCCACTGCACACCCTGTGGGCTGAGGCAGAATTAATACAGGAGGCTACTATGACATAAGTGTGGGGGTGAACATTAAGACTAAATAATGGATTGTACACCAGGAAGAGAAGTGTGTGATATATGAGACTCTTTATATACAAACACCTGTCCCTCGTCTATGAAATACTTCCTGCATCCTTTTGGCTTAAACTTACAAAACCAGTTTGATCAGATTAAAAGTTGCCAGTTGGGTGAAATCTGAGTTGTTGAGGTAATTCTTTGATGTCCAGTATACTATATATACTATATATGTTTGCTTTTGCCATACCAGAGTGTCAGTCTCCGTGTCAAATGGGCAGGGGAAACAGCTGCAGCGTAAGTACACAGTCAAAAATAGAGGTACAGGAGAAGTAGGTTCTTCACAGATGTACTATATCAGGCACATAATGGGACCCAGATGCATACCGTGTGATCCACCATAAAAAGGTACAAAGTAGCTCCACATACTTTAAAGTACAGATTTCTGCTTATTCACCCTGAACTTATTGTAGAGTCGCCCAAGTTAGTTAAAGGGACATTTATTTACTCGTCATGGGTAGTTCAACTCAGCCTGTGAAAACCGGCTCTGGGGAACTCTTTAATGTCTGAGAAAATAACCCTGATTATTTCATCAGGTCTAACATAATATACAATTTATTGCATTATGAGAAATGTGGGATAAAGTGTTTTTGGAACTTGACCCTTTTCAGTCTTTTATATACAGGGACTAAAAGTCAGGATTTCTCAGCCTCTGCTGATTTGATTTTAAAAACTGAAACAAAGTTTCTTCCATATTCCCACATTTTACAAAAGGCTAATAGTAAATAGCTATTTAAAAGAAATAGAGCTAAGCATCTAGCTCTCTGTACAAAATAAAGTATAAAAACAACTCATTCCTCACTGCTCCTGATCAGACCACAACATAATATAACTTGTTAGTGAGCTTTATAGATGCTGTTAAGATCCCTAAGCTATAGGTATAAGTATACCTCCCAAAGCGTCAAAGTATTCCTCTAAGATAGTTGGTGAGGAATCATGACCTTGCTGCAACAATGGCGCCAACCCGTTGATCTATCTACACTGTCTCCTGTCTACATGCTTCCTGTCCAAGAGAGGGAATGCTTCCTGTCCAGAGAATATGTCATTCACATTTTGGTAAATACATATACATAATTATGCTTTTCAATATACAAATGGCAGCTTTTGCACATCAAAATGTATACTTCTGCTCCACTTCTGCACAGCCTTGCTGTACTATGAAGGCAATGATGCGCAGTATGTGAGTGTAACATGATGACCCATGCCCAACCCCACTACAAACTACTACAGACAAGATTTCCTGGTCTCTGGTCAGCTCTTGGACCCCTGAGTCCCCCCCCAACCTTGTAAACATGGGCACAGAAAAATACTGTAGTCTCAGCAAACTAAGGAAAATATATCAGCTACTCAAGCATGCTTGATGTGCTTTGAACTGACTTTGATGGCATAATATGAGCCGGATACACAGATGGGTATATTGACGATTTAACTTAAGATTGGTTTTATGGCTACAAGCGACAGAAAAATGCATTTATGTGTTTGTTTTGCACAAACAACTCTCACTTTTCAGGCCTCATTATAACTGAGTCTTGACTGCCTGCCTCTTGATGACTTTATTATAAGATCAGCAGGCGCTCTGGGAGCACGGAGAGAGACAGCAGCCATAATTGACAGCAAATTAGTTGCAGGAAAATGGCACATTGATCACTGTTACGCAACAACACAGGAAAGGGTTAGTCAGGTCAGTGTGGACGAGTCCCTGAGGATGCAGAGACAAGAGGTGACTTCTGAGGAGAGAATAGAGCCTGTTTTAACATAGGGCAATATGTCATGCCTTCACAATACCATCATCATCCTCATTATAGACAAATGATTTTCTGAGCGCATATACCAGGCTGTAGAGAAACGGACTGTGTCTTTGGCAATTTTTATCTTCGTCATTACTCAGCTGTTTCTCAGGTTGCAAGGTGCACATGAGGGGGGGTCAGATGACAGAATGAACTAAAGAAGTGTGCACGTCTTAGTGTGTGTGTGTGTGTGTGTGTGTGTGTGTGTGTGTGTGTGTGTGTGTGTCCTCTTTCTCCTCCCTTTGGAGCTGTAGGTGTATATTTCAGTTACTTGGCAACCCCTTTGAGAAAGTTTTAACAATAGACACCCTGCAGAGTCAGACGTTGGGGATATGCACCAACAAGTGACAGCAGAATGATAGAAATGTCACTATTTTCATATAAATAATAAACGGTGTTATCAAAGGTAGAGGACTGTAGGTAGTGCAGCTTTTAACTTAAGTGTTATAATAGTAGTAATAGTCCTTGAGCAAGGGATTCAACCTCTCTACCCTAACCTCTGACCCCCTACAGGGAGGGAAGAAAGCCTCTAACAGTATATATTGGTTGTGATGTATAGTATTATGTGCATTCAGTCTTGTGTGTGCAGAACTAACAGTTTTCCTCACCATCAACACTGACGTCCTGACAGCCTCGGAGACGCTCTGCCTGAGCTCTGCGGCGGTGCCCGGTTTGTTGAGCCCCCGGGTGAACTTCCTCGCCTCAGGTGGAGCAGAAGCCATAGTATAGCCCACCTTTCATCAGACAGACAGGTTACTGAGAGGAGCAGAGTCCCGAGGCGGTGGTACGGAGGCTTGAAATCCTGCGCTCCGGTGCTGTCCAAAGTGCGTAAATGCACACACAGGCGCCGGTCTATCCCGCCATTGCGCTTCCTTTAAACTTTACACAAGCTCGGTCGCATCTACAGTAGAAAGAGCAGTTCCAGGAGACATGAAGATGACCTCCCTGATCGACAGCAGTCGGACAGTAACATCCAAAGCCTGCTGTGCTCTGTCCCGCCAGTCAGCGCAGGTCCCTTGCGCAAACTGGCACGCCCCCCTTCCTCAGTGTAATAATGCTCAGTGGGACAGCACTGTAAACTAATTCATCCATCATATCTGGAGGCTATAAGGGCGAACTACTGTACATAACATGCCTGCATTATTTCTAGTGACACCCAGCAGTGACTTTATAGTGTCAAAATACCACTGTCTTCCATCTGCGGTATCACTATGCTTTTATAATAGATAATAAATAGGAATATTAAAGGCCTCAGAGACTTGGATGACAATTAATGCCTTAACTGTTGTATCAATACAGTATTTGAGCAGCACTAAATACTGTTTTGGGGTTATATAAGTACAAACCACGCACTGTTCTGCCGTAGGCACAGGATAACATTGCCACCTGCTGGAATAATTATTGTTTTAACCACTCGGGTTGTGCTTTAGGCTTTAAACTCTGTATAAAGTTATTTGACCACACAGAGGCAGTAAAGTAACACTAATAGTTGAATATCTACTGATGCCTTTATTAGCAATCGGGAATTGTAACTTTAAGTAGAAGGGTTGAAAAAGCATTAAAAAAATGGGATATCCGTGGGAATATTATTAATAATGTATATGTATTATTGGGCTATTATCATGTTTTCATGCAGAATTAGATAATTACTGGATTATATCTTGCACATTGCGATATTATTATGTGTCACTGTTAACTTGCACATCAATTTATCAATATTTGTACAGCTTTTCATCCATTTATTTAAATTCACATTGTCTCTCGTTTTATATTTGTATCTGTTGTTTCTTTTTATAGTATTGTTTATTTATATTTTTCGATGTTTATTGTTATGCACCAAAAGCAAATCCCTTTTAATAAACCCAATCCTGGTCCTCATTTCTCTCTCTTCTTCTATTTATTCTCTTTCTCTCTTTACTTCTATCTCTCGCTTTACGATATTTAAAATAAGGGGTCTTAATTTCAGATTGGTTTCACTGCAACAAGTGACAGAAAAAAAAAAAAAAGCATTTATGCGTTTGTTGTCAAAACTCGTTGCCCAAACTCCGACAATCTCACGGAGAGCCTGAACGCAGCACGTGTTTCCAGGGTGTTGTGTTCAAAGTCTGCGGCACAGCGGCGCTGCAGCCTCCCTCCTGGCTGTGTGGGACTGTCCTCCCTCCCCCTCCCTCCCCCCCTTCAACACCAACCCACAGCAACCTGATACCGGAGACGAGCGGTCCAGACAAGCCTGCAAACGAGGCGTTCCCAGCCGCCCTTGTCTGTCTGTCTGACTGTCTGTCTGTCTCTCTGTCTGTCTGCACCGGCGGAGCTCCGAGCCGTCAACGCCAAACGCGAGCCGACCGCCTCGGGGAAGATCACATCAAGAAGAAGAGATATCTATTCACTCAACCCCGTCGTCTGCCAGCTCGGGAGCAATAATCCCCGTCTATCGCAGAGCAGGGAAAAGAAATCTCACGGCTAGAGACGCTGTTGACCTGTGATTTATTTATTTATTTCTTTCTTTCTACCCCAGAGAGAGAGAGAGAGAGAGAGAGAGAGAGAAGGAGACCGTGAAATGAGACGGGACGCGGGGGGACTCACTGGTTAGCTGTTAGGCTAACATCGGTTAGCAGCCAGCTTGTTAAAACCCTCACCGAGCTAATTTGGCTATCGCTCGTATGCCAAGTTGTTCCCCCCGTTGTGTGGGGCTGTTTGGGGGCATGGCGTGTGTGTGCGCGATTTAGTTGTGTGTCGGTGATTTTTCTCTGCTGGTATTTACCCTGTTTGCCCCAAAGTTTTGTCGCCCTGGGCAGCTAGCATGTCGGCTAGCAGATATGGACGTTGTTCGCTGGCTAGCTGTAGATGGCAAACAAGTTAGCTGCCTGCTTTATAGGGACTAACTTAACTTTTTGTTTTGTTTTTATTGGCAGTGAATTATTAGTTATCAAATCACGTCCACCGACCTTCTCTTTTTTCCTCTATTTTTTTAAATTTTTTTTTTTTTTTGCATCATTTCTCGATGTGCTCCATGCCTGAGAGATCAGTTCAAGTTATTGAGCTGACGTGAGGAAAATAAGGGAGTTAAAGAAGAACAACAACAACATAAAAACAACAACAAGACGTTTAACGGGACTTGGAGGAGCTCCAACTACGAGACCAAAGTCGAGGTACACTGTCATGGCTGTCATGGGCCGGATCACGATGAAATCTCTCGCCAAATTTGGGTTTTGCCTGACGATCCTGCTCACTTCTGTGGCCGGTAAGTGGTTTATTAGTGATTTATTTTTTATTTTTTTGGATAGTGGGTGGGGGGATGTGCTTCTCATACATATTTAATGCTTTCATTTGGTTTTCTGCTGTCTGTATTTCGTGCACACAGACAGATTTGGTGCAGATGTTGTCGCTTGAATAATGTAAGCTACTTTAGGTTCTACCCAAATTCAGTTTTTTTTTTTAAAGCTCTGGTGTGGATTAAAGGCAGTCAATATCAAGACTTAATTTTCCTTACTCATCATATCATCCGTGTGTTTCTATCAGACCAGCCTGCTCTGTCTGTCTGTCTGTCTGTCTGTCCCTTATCTACCTTTTCCATCTTGCTGTCTGCCCCGGGTTATTTCTGGAGGGATCTTTGTGGCTCATCTCATTGTAGTCAAGTTGAACCTTCATAGATATCTCCTCTTTATACGGAGTAGCAAATTCACCCTCTGGCTCCTTTTTTTTTTTTTTTTTAATCACTCTGTGTACAAAAGGCCTGGAAAAACACTGCCAAACATACCGCAGTCCTTGTCTGCCAAGTTGTGCCCCCTGTTCAAGACTTTGGGCTGAAGCCAGGGCTTCTGTGAGACCTTGAGTGTGATAAGATAGTAGCCGGGCTGCACAGAGACATGGAGGAACAGTGCACGCAAGAGGGAGGAAGAGGTGGAATGTGTGGGAAGACAGGAAAGGTATTTTACAAGATGGGTAATTTGGGTGAGAGAAGTTCAGCACGGTGCTTATGCTTTGGCTCTGTGTTTAAAAGAAGGTGGTCCTGTTGCCTGGTTTGCTTATCCGGCGTTACAGCCGAGTACGTGGGTGTGAATGTGTGTATAAACAGCTTGTTAATAATGTATTATGGATGGAAGAGCATCAACAATAACACACACACACACACACTCGTAGACAAGGTATATTATCAGAAGACCGGGATAATAACTGCTGTTGCAGAGGAGTGTATCTAAATGTGAAGCAGAATACACAGTTTTGCTCGTGGTCATCACTTAAAGCTGGTAGTGCAGAGAGACTATGCCACAATTTGCATTTAAATTTACATTTGACAGGCCGAGTGGTTGTCTTGTCGCTTTTTAATTCCTATTTCCGTAAAAAAAAAAACGACAAGCAAAGACTGTCATTGTTAAGGCCCAAACAGCATCTTCTGACACCCTCACGCATAAACAAATGGACAAAGATTTAGAAACATGGGAGTAAGTAGATAAGTAAGGCACAGGAGAGGGGTGATTCAGTGGGAGAGAGCAGGACATGAAGCATTTACAGAGGAGATGAGTTGTCAGGTTGTGACGTAGGGTCCGTGGCGGTGGGGCGGGGGGGGTGGGAGGCGGAAAAAGCTGAGTGCAAATTTTCATCCCCAATTGTAACGTTCAGCAAAATGTAAAACTGTAATTCATCATTTCAGCATGCACATTGGACGACTTCTCATCACCACGAGATAATGTTCCCCCGATCAGCTCACCTTTTATGAGACATGACACGCAAATTAGTATTCCCTGAGAGCAGTTTAACGACTACAGCGACTGGCAGAGGATTGACATATTCACTCAATAATCAGTACATGGACGATTAATGGATACTTATACGCACACGTGCCATGTAAACAGCCAATAAATTCAAATCGTTGCACTGTGCGTAATTAATTAGTCCGGCAGTCAGACTTTGTTGGCATAATGACTGTAGAGAGACTCTCTCTCTCTCTGTATGCTGCCGTTTTGTTCCTGAATGCAACGCAGAGATACCCCAGTGCCCACTTCTTAGGATGTTACTTGTTATGATGATGATGATGATGAGAGGAAGCAGAGGGCCAGATAGCGTGCAGCAGCGTGTTAGTCATCTCTCTGACCCAACACTTTCCCCTTTGCTCCCATTGTCTCAGCTCCAATATCATTTCTGTTTTTCCCTTTTTCCCACCTCGCCCATTACTGTTAATTTCTTTTTTAAAATGATTAATTTCCTTCCACCTGCCATGTGTTTAACCTGCTTGCAGCTGAGCTTGGGTCGTCCTTCCGCTCCCTGTCCCCTGTCCCCTGTGACTAATCAGTGAGTGGGCGTATGCCTGCTGCTCCAAAAACCTGTCTGAGTAGAAGCAGTTCCAAACAAGCCCGCAGACACTACCTGCGGCGTGTGACCACAGGTGTTCTTAAGTAGTAACATTAAATCAGACTTTAGCCCATATTCTTATCAAGTTCAACTTGTAGCACATGCTCATAATGTATGCCACAACCCACATTCAGGCAGTCATTTTTTTTTTACTGTTGACCCAGGTAAGCTAGAGGTTTGAGAGGTCCAGAGAGGATTAGAGCTATTATATTATATTATTGTACCAGAGAATATAAAGAAAGGACTGCTCATTTGCTCCGCTTGTCCAAACTCTGTAGCTGTGTCTCTTGAGCCCCATACTGTGGCGGTGACAAGGCCCACTGTTCCCCAACCAGGCCGCGTCCTGGGCCACGGGGGACTCTTGAAGCTGTCCGCTCTGCGGTCACATCAGGGGCTCAACAGAAAGTGAAGTTATTGGCTCGAGATTACAGACTTGCACTGAATGGCTGCGAGTCTGTTTGCCGCTCGGGCTAGCTCAGATCGGAGCCTGCAGAATTTGGGGAGCCAGGTACAGACTGCTTTCAGCCCTGGCATTTAGAGGATGAGGATGAATCAGAATTACTTAAATGCCAAGTACAATACATGCTCAGGAATTTGCCTCGGTGAGATTGCAGCAGAGACATTTTTGAAAACCAGGAAAGGAAACAATAAATCTCCCTGTTGTATTATGGGCTGCAACTAAAGATTATTTTCATCATCGGTAAAAGGGGAACACATCAGAGTGTGTATCCAGGTGTTGGAGCAACATCCTCCGACTAAACTGGCAGTGGTTGATCTGCATTGTGGATAATGTAGGCACCAGGTTTTTGTGGACTAAAAAAGACGATAATGTGGTTCTGCTGCATAGATTTTCATCCGTTTAATTGTCTAATCATAATTTCCTGAAGTACGAGCTGGCAGCTTCAAATTACTTTTTTTGTCCAACCAACAACTGTTATCTTCTTAAGATATAAAAAAGAGGAAAAACAGCAAATTAATACAACTAGGAGGTTGTGAATGATTTAACCCATTATCAAAATTGCTGATTAATTTCAATCAGCTAATCGATTAATTGCCACCAGCTTATACCACATCCTTATCTCTGTAATAATAATTCAATTCCATTTGTCATGAAAGGCTTTTATGTTAATTAGAAGGAAAGACAGAGACTGTAATAAAGCAGCACAATTATAAGAACAGGCGTAGAAATTAATTCTGTACATGGTGTAAAAAATGTGTGTGACATTATTGCGTGTTTCACTTAATTATTGGAACCGATTTTGCCCAAATCCCCGGGGCCCGCGTTGCCAAGCTGCATCACCTTTGACTCTCAAGCTAGTCTGCTGAGTATGCAGTATAGTCTTCTTGTGGATGTGGATGCAGCATCCCTCTGGAGGTAAACACGAGGATGGTAAACTGGGTAAAAGTAGCTTGGAAAATGTTGAAATCAGTTCAAGTGAAACTGTGAGGCAACTAGCGTGTAAATGCAAAAATAGAGGTAATGCAATGATGTGGAAAATAAGCAAGTAGTAGCCGAAGCTGAAGGATATTAAAGCACTTTGCACACTTTGAGGCCATAATATGTTGCGCTCATTCCACATCATCATTTCGAGAAGAGATGACACTGACTGCAGATAGAAACAGACCAATGAATGAATGCTGGGTGGGTAGGTGGGTGGGGGGGGAAGCCCATTTGGTCTCTAATACAGCTAGCGTTGTACTCTATTAGATGAAAAAATCAATGTCTGTCTCTCTTAGTACCTTGGTTTGAGTTCTGAGCAGAGGTAAAGGCAAAGCGAGATACAATAGAACAGTGTTCAGCCGACCTTCTGGTTTGGCAAAAAGGAGAAATTAGTGGATGTTTTAGAAAACAAAAGGTGCAGCCTTCAGATGGTAACTCAGAGTGACAGCCTATGATTAACACGAAGCGTTCTCCTCGGCCGGCAGAGACAATAAGTCTAGAGCGCGCAAAAAAATGTTGCACAGAGTATGGAACAACTGTGTTGGTTGGGATTCTTTGTATTTTCCTGGAGGGAAGCTGTAAAAATAAGGGTACTTGTCAGCAACTGTAGGACTTTTTAAGATGTTTTCTGACTGAATGGGATGTCACATCTGTGGAGATTGCTCTTGTCTTTCGCAGTCTGTGTATCTCAGGCCCTGTATGTTTCTATCCACATCAGCTTATAATGGTTACAGCAACAGAAGAAGGTGCAGTCACTAGATTCCAGCATTACAAGCAATCATTGGTGAAAGGTACCAATAGTGCAGTCTCAGCCTTCCTCTGAGAAAGATGGCTTATGGGGGTGATAAGTATAGTCTAACTGATACTGGATTTTTGAGGACAATAGCAGTATTTGGGAGTATTAAAAATAAAATACATGACATAAACAATCTTGATAGGGATTCCTTAGATTTTGTTTTAAAATTGTAAATAAGATACATCCTCAGTGGGACATTTTATTGTGTAAAAACAAACTTGTCAGTGCTCTCTGGTGGACAATGAAGTCGTTGTAATAGAGACACTGTTTCTAAATGACCTCAAATCTAGTTTGGCATTTCTTTGCTGCGTTTTCTGCACTTACTTATCAGCTGGCGTACACACCGATACTGATACATCTGCAAAAAGCTAATATCAGCCTGGTAGATTAAGCAGTCTAGTGATAAGGTTCAAGCAATTTCTCTCCCCCCCCCAAAGATTAGTTTTTGGGCTTGTTGCCTTTATTGACAGGAACAGCTGAAGAGAGACAGGCGAGGTGGGAGGACATGCGCTAAAGGGAATCGAACCCGGGCCACTGTGTCACTCTACCGGGACAAGTAAAGTTTATTTGTGGAGCACATTTAAAAACTGCAAGGACCGAAGTGCGTCTGTGAACTCCTAATCATTATTTATCATGGATTGATCTGCTGATTAGT